GCCTTTAGCGATGGCGAAGAGGATTTCCTAGAATCGAATGGCGTGGGGAACGTAGTTCAAGGTTCTCCATCGTCTGATACCTACGATGACATTGTCTACATCAGCGAGTCGGATGATGATGAACTGAATGACAAGGTGGCCGACTGGTCCAAGTTGCTTAGCCAAAAGGTTGTTCCAGATGTCATCGAAATGTCGCAGACTTACCCGGTGTTGGAGGAGGATTCGGATTCAGATCTGGGTATTGAAGCGAAACATCCAACGAGGGCTTTACGTATACAGTCCTCCAGCGAGGACGAAGCTTCCGATGAGTTGATTGCACCCCAGATGGAACGAGGGCGCTCCAAAAACAAGTCCCTTAACGATCGTGTTGTGCGCCAGGGTAATTACTTCAGTCTGTCCTTAAAAAACTTTCTGCTTTTTCATGTTGTATGCTTTTGCTGGTGCTAACTATCATTATAACCACTTTCACGTTTTCACTTTTTTCTGATTCATCTCAGCTGATAGCACGACTCCCGATCCATCGCCGATTCGAAAATGTTCGGTACGCTTGAAAAAAGAAAAAACAACCGACAATGTCAGCTCCACTGCAGATGATGAACACTCGCTTGAGGCAGAGGACAAAGTCAGCCCTAAACTAAAATCTTGCTTAAAAACTCCGAGCAAGACATTGGCAGATGGCAAGGACAAAAACGAGGAGACCAAGAAGTCCTCAGTTCGGCAGCGACGCCAGACAATCGCGTCCAGAGATGAATTAGCACAAATAAGCCCACAACAGGATGAGACTAATAAGACACCAATCCGTAGGCGACTCACAGTCACTTCTCGGGATGAGCTAGCTAAATCCAGCGCAGCAAAAAAGGAAACCAAAGAAGCTCCAAAAGATATAGTTTCGACACCCAAAAAAGTACTGCGCAGTCGTTCAAAATCCTGCTATATAGATCGTTCAGAAGAATTAGAGGAACCTTTAAGCAAAAAAGAAAAGAATTCTAAGAACAATGAAAATTCGAGTAACAGCCTTAAAGAGTTGGTGGTAACTCTAGAGGCTCCGGAAAAGTTGGAGACGTCTACCAAATCAAAAAACAAAAAAGTTGAAGGAAAAAAAAACACGACTCGCGGCAGACCCAAAAAATTACAGAGTCCAGAAGAATTCAAGTCGTTAGCGACTGAAGTCAAGCAAACTGAACCGATGGCCAAATCCAAAGTTTCTCCTTCTAAACAGGGCAATGATAAAGTTTCTATTCCAGCTGAAAGCCTTCTTAAAAAAAGTCCACGCCTACTCAACCGATCGAAATCGTGCTATACAGATCGCCCTGGAACTACGAAAACCGATCTTCCTGACAAGTTTTCTCCAGCCAAAAGCGATGCATCTGGGAGACTTGAGAACTCTAATGAGAAGAGGATGACACACGAGGCTCCATCCGTTGCCAAGAATCGTGGCAAATTGCAAGGGGTGTCGGCAGTCAAAGCCAAAGATAAAGTATTAGAGCGCCAGCGCCTTATTGACTACCAAGCCGATTTGAACGCCAAGTGGAAACAAAAGCCCAAGGACAAGAAAAAAGAAGACGAAAAAATAAAGCAAAATCGCCGCGAAGCGCTTAAGAAGCTGTCTGACAAACCGAAGGAAAAGGACAATAGCTCAAGAACTAGTAAGAGAAAGCATTCCACAACTGTTCCTACCATTCACAATACAAACCGAGGCGAATTCCTAACCAAAGAAGTTGGTGGTCCACCAACAAAAGTGGCAAAGACGGATAAAGCTAAGCCAGTGCCCAAGAAACCAACTCCTCCCCGGCACCCAACTGTTAAGACATTCTCCCAGCAACTCCAGGCAGCTGATGAAACCTTGCTTTATCCGCAGCCACATTCTTATCGCCCAGCGGAACGTAAAGGAGCAGAGCAGGCGAGAAACCAGCGCACCTGCAACAAGGTTACCTTTGCCGAGATGGAACGCTACAATAAAAAAACCGAGGAGTTAAATAATATTCAGAAGAAGCTCAGAAAAGTGCATTTCAATGATGATGTCGTGATACACTACATCGAAAAGGTCCAGGGCGCCCGAACCCAACAGCATGGACGCAAGGAGTGCATTAAGCTCTTCCTCAGCACGTACCACGAACGCCGCGAATGGACTCGCAAGGGTAAAAAACCGGTGAACGACATCCGCCGACACACACGAAGTATCCTGCGGTGGGCTAACCAGTGGCTGAAGCTTGGTAGTGTAGATGCAGTCGCCGACCAAGATACTCTACTACCGATTTCAAATGAATTTGATTCTTTTAAGCACTATATAGAGTGAGTTTGATAATAATTATTATGAAGTAACGCTATGTTTACCTTTTAATTCGTTTCTTAAAGTACGTTTGTACCGTTGATGAAGCTGGAGCTGCTGACCTCAATCGAAAGGGACTACAGGATGAACACAGAGACTTTTGTTGCCAGCTTACAGAACGCGTACATCCAGGATAATTGCTACCGTTTGATTATCAGAGGTTTGCATTTTTATAAATTTGTAGTTGCTTAGTTTGTAGCGTACAGTTGGGCTAAGTTTAGTTAATAAATATCCGTACAAAATAGGAATACTGAGCGAGAATAAGAAAATAAAAAAAAGTAAAAAAAAAGTTAAATGTGTAAAAATAGCTCACTAATCGAAAGATATTTATCATTTGTGTGAGAAACAAAATGATGAAAAAAGCGAGGAAAATAAGTACTTCTCACGAATGATGAAGTGATCATTGACTACCAAAATATAATTATAAAAGGTTCCCTTTAAGATGGGCCATCATTTCTTTATTTGGTTGTCCACAAGAATACCAAATATTGCAATATTTTACATTTAATACTTATTTTTGTTTCTTCTAGTCAATAACAGACCTATTCGAAAATTTGTACTGTATACCCTTTCGGGCGGCAGCCAAGTAACCGAGACGTTTGCCAATCTGCTAGATATTAAGTGTGTCGGAGGTAAGTCGTTACCATATGTTTAAATAATCCTCGATCTCCCTCACATTAAGTAATTTTTGGTTCATTCAGGCAACACCTTTGAGTTTCTGTTTGAGATCGTGATGCAGAATATAACCGAGGACCAGATTAACAGCGTTAAGCAGTGGACCGTCCGTCCAGTCGTCGACAGTATAAGGGTAGAGTTGGGGGCCTTGAGTGCCGTCCATCAGCTCCCCAGCTCGCCGCTCTGTCGTCGTATTCTGAAGCCCACGCAGACTATAAGTGAGATCTCACTACCAAAGCAGGCGTTCACCTTCAAGGGTTGCACGAGGCTGAACGAGCATCAGGAGAATATTTGCCTGCGCACCTATCAGCGAGTCGTCGATGATTTGAAACCGAGTATCACACTGATCCAGGGCCCACCTGGGACGGGCAAGTCGAAGGTTATTTCCGAACTATGTCTTCAGACTCTGTACGGAAATGCCGCCAAGACGCTGGACCGCAAGATCTTGATTTGTACTCATTCCAACACGGCCGTAGACCACATTGTTGGTCTCCTGGGTGGGGTTGTGCGCGTGATGAGCCACGACCGCTTCAACCTACTGCGTTTCGGGCTGCACGAGAAAATGAGCAATTACTCTCGACCCTTCTCGCTGGAGGCGCATTTCGATAAAGCCAAGAAGCTGAAGTTGGAGCGCCTAACTCCGGAGAACGTTGAAATTTTGAAGAAGCAGCACATAGATCTTAAGGCTGATATCCTTCAGCTGAAGCAAAAGGCGAATCTCACGGGCACATATCTGCAGCAGCAGTTGCAACAGAAAGAACGGCAGCTCCGTTTAATCAGCGACCAACTGAATCCACCGCTAACACCGCGTGAGGAGCTCGAAATTTCTCAAACGTGTGTGGCCAAGGCCAATATCATCTGCACCACTCTCTCCTCGTGTGTGAAACTGGCCAACTATGTGGACTTCTTTGACATCTGCATTATCGACGAGGCCACCCAATGCACAGAGCCCTGGACATTGCTGCCCATGAGATTTGGTCTAACGCATCTCGTTCTGGTGGGCGATACCCAGCAACTTCCGGCAGTGGTGCTGTCCAAAAAAGCTATAGACTTTGGACTGTCTAATTCCATGTTCGATCGCATTCAGCGCAGTCTACAACAGCAGCTGGATAAGCCGGGAGGCAACCAGTTTGTGCACACGAAACTTTTTAAGCTGAGCATGCAGTACCGCATGCATCCAGAGATTTGTCGTTGGCCCAATAAGTATTTCTACGAGGATCAGTTGGTAAATGCCGACGCAACCGCCCGTTTTGCCTCGGCTGTCATTCCATACTGTGTGATCAATTTGAGATACACCCAGGACATCAGTGGCGCTCAAAACAAGAGTATTAGCAATGACGAGGAGGCTCGCTTTGTGGCCAAACTTCTGACTGAGATGGACAAACACTTGCCCACCAAACGCTACAGCTACGGCATAATCTCGCCGTACCAAAGCCAATGTTTTGCCTTGAGCCAGGTGATTCCCAGTCACATGAATCTCACTCCTTTGACTGTGGACGCGTATCAAGGTTTGGAAAAGGATGTGATCATAATTTCCAATGCCAGGACACGCGGTTGCGGCTTCCTCACCAACTATCAGCGCCTCAATGTGGCTCTGACCAGACCGAAGCGTTGTTTGGTCATTTGTGGGAATTTTGATGATCTCAAGGCGAGTGTCCAGAATGAAATATTTTATTATTTATTTTTTAACTTTTATTTGCCACCTATTTCAGTCTGTGGACATGTGGCGCCACTTACTCGACGACGCTCGCAACCGGAAAGTTTACTTTGATTTGGAGCGCAAGCATGTGGACGACCTACAGAACTCCTTAATCAAAAAGATGCTGGTTAAACCTATAGACCTTCTTTAAGGGAAACAGCTAAAAACGCCTCCAAAAACAAATGAAGCGACTATGACACATGTTTAGCTTTAGAAATGCCTCAAGTGCCATGGAAGATAATCGCTTCCCGTTAAGTTTATGAAATAAATTTGTTTTTTTTTTTAATATTTCTTCACTTTTATATATATTTAACATAGAGACTGTAAGATTTTAAGTTGAAATCTTTGTACACTTAGTTCATTAATACGTCGTCGTCTTGCATTTCTTTTGTAAATGCCATACAGATACTCGTATAACAGGATTTATAAGTAACCGATTATATATCATCTATTTACTTTTTGAGAAAGTGTCGCGGGTTGAGGATGATGCTGATACATTGTATAAAATAAATATTGAATTTGTTAAATCAATCGTTTACGGTCTACATATTGCACTATATAGAATTACAGCATTACAGACGCTTTTCTGGTAGTTCTGTCTCCTCGTCCCTCAATTAATTAACTAAAATGCGCTTTAATTATGCTAATCTCCAGATTCCGGCGCTGCCTTCTTGATCATCGCTAAGTTATAGTAATAGTAAGTAAATTCACTAACAACACGCACACACACATAGTCGATATTAAATTCATAGTTATTCTGTTTGCTTTGCCTTGCGTTGGATGTAACGCCTGTCAGTTGGGCATGGGGCATTAAAATTAATGGAATTGCTTAAAAATTCGATTGCACTATGTAGAGTTCTGCCAACACAATCGGTATAACTTAATGCAAGTAAATGAAAGTACTAACTTAGGAAAGTATTTAAAATGTAGCAACAAAATCTAACTAAGGACTAAAAACATAACAAAAATTATGCCCATAATTAACTTATTTTATGTGGCTGCTCGAAAGTGCTTGCCCGTTTGCTTACAAATATACATATATCAATGTATATATAGAAATTTCGGCATTGTATATAGATCGTACGACTAAAGCAAACATCTTGTCCGAATCTAACTGATAACCGATTAAGCTTAGGTTAGCATATCGCCCAGGTTGTCCTTGAGCGACTGATAAATTTGGTATTGTTGATCAGGTTTAAGGTTGTAAATCTGGGTCAGTAACTTCGCAGGCGACGGAGTTCTGATGAAGCTAGATATATAAACGTTGACGAAGGTGGCCATGAGAAACTGGCAGTCGAAACGATCCATGATGCCGCCATGTCCGGGAATCATGTCACCAAAGTCCTGTTTAAAGTGGAAAGTTGTGTTAGGAAAGAAAGCATTGTTTTGTGATAAAAAAAAACTCACCTTAATTTTGAAAGCTCTCTTAAATCCGGAGGCGAAGAAGCCGCCGAAGGGTCCAATTATGGAGCTAAACAGGCTCAGGGAGATCGAGTGCCAGATGTAAGGGTAGAGACTTACAGTTTTGCCAATGCCAAACTGGAAAGGATTACAAATTTATTTAGTTTATTAAAGAGATCATAAGGTTAGATGGTAGGATGATTCAATGCTTGTCATCTATAAACACAAAATCACATAACTTCCAACTGTAACTAACTTACCAACTTAAGACTGTATTCCTGCGGTGTGAACAGATAGCTGGGCACACAGGACATGGTCATGCGACCCAGTTCTTCCGAGTACTGGATGGGGCAGATGAAGTACTGGTAGTTGCACAGCACGTAGGAGAACAGAATGCCAAAGAGAACGGTGGCGAAGCCACCCCCAATGAAGCCCTCCCAGGTCTTCTTGGGGCTGAGCTTAATGAGGGGCGTGCGTCCAAAGAAGAAACCGAATACGTACGCCATGACATCATTGCATACAATCATCGAGACAGGTACGATGAACCAAATAAGGCCTTCGAATATATTCTGGATGATGAGGTAGCTCTGGGTGACGACAATCAACAGGGAGACGTGAGTCCAGGCGAACAGGCTGAACTGTTTAATGTAGTACTTCTTCACCAGCGAGAGGACAAACCAAACGAAACCGATGATGTACAAGGCGAAGGACAGGAAGCGATGATAGGTCACGAGGAACTTGAGGTATTCCTGTATAATACATTCCAGATTAATAGTTTTATAGTTTATTTTGCTGAATTTGTACTGACCACTCGATTAATAACAACGCCAAAGTAGTCAACCAAATTCTCCCCGTAGAAGAAGTAGTTGGAGGTGAGGAGGAAGTACCAGGAGAGACTTCGGAACCAGGGCAAGCCGTGAATCCGATACACCTGGTACCCAATTGAGATGATCTCCTGGAAGCACTTCACCTGGACCAGCAAAGTCTGCAGAGAGAAAGTAAGAAATTAAATAATTGAAGAGTAATTTACGCGAATTCCATTTAACTCACCGTGATCATCAAGGCCAGCGGTCCGCCATAGATGATCAGTGCAAAGGCCCAGATCATGATCCAAGTGAAAATGCCACGGATGACCCAATTCTTCCATCTGTGGAATGCGCAAGAGATTATTGTTTTTAAATGTACATATTGATTTAGAATATTTGCTCGCGAACTGCAGCCAGCTGTTCATATGTAATATTTTTGGAAAACACTCATACTGCCGAATTTTTATATTTTTATAAATCAAGAACAAATTGAACGCAGTAAAATATCTAAACATTGCATATTTTTAATCTGAATATTACTAATTATGGCATTTCTGGCAGTAATGTTTAGTTCGCTTTTTTAAAACAAGATGCTCAAAATATTTTTCGCGATGCCTAATATACAAAAAAATGTCTCATCAGTTAGAAAATAGAACAAGAATAAACAGAATGACTTTTCAAAACAATCCTAATAATGATTATGCACTTGTTTGTTTGAATATCAGATAGAAATAGTTATATTTATTTCGAATATTTCTATATATATGTATTCTTACTGATAATAATAACTAATTTCTGTACTATGTACTTTCTAAAACCACAAACACTGGAACACTAGATTTTGGATACTACTAAACTTTAACTTACCGATCTGGCAGGTCCTTTAAAGCCGAGTCCAGTATCTCGGGTGTCTTGTCGGTTCCCTGCGGCAGATTCTTGGCCAAATCGTCGACGAATTTCTCCTCGGGAATCTTCTCCTCCTCGGAGTCCACCTGCAGGGGTATAAGGAATGCACATATTGATTGGATTGGATTGGATTGGCTGGTGGTGCAAAGTAGCTTCCCTATCGAATTCGATACGAACGGAGTGCAGGGTTTAAGCACTTTCTATTGGGTGCTGAGCAAAGTCCAAGATACGTTGTATGTATGTGGCCATATACCCATAATCAGAATCACTCATTTATCCAATACACAGGCATATAAAACGAAAGGGGGGGTTGGGCAGAAGTGGGCAGTCAAATTGCGGGCTTTTTGGTGGCGTGTTTTGTTTGTTGCCAAATCGCTAGGTTGATAAGGAGACATTTGGGGGGCTTATCACCCAGAACAAAAAAGAAACCGCAGCCGGAAAGGGAGGAGGAAGTCTGGTAGTGGTAATGGTCCCAACTCTGGGTTCTTGGCTTCCGTAATTTTCGTCGTCCACTTAATTGGATTTGCTGGTCATAGTGGCGCTATACATATTGCAACACAGCAGGTGGGTGGGTGTATGTGCGGATGGGTGGGGGTGGGTTTCTGTTTATTGGATTTTCTCCAGGAGAGAGCTCTCTTTCTCCCACCTGCTTGTGCGTCAGAGAATAACAAAAACACACACACACACACAGATTTGTTGGTATACACACATTGGGTTTTCTATGCTCCAAGAATTATGCAAATTGGAATCCGGAACAGGCTGCCTGGCCTGGCTGCTCCACATACAAGTCATTGGCACTTACATGGTCCGAGGAATCGGCGGCGGAGGAATTCCGCTTGATGGCTCCTCCGGTTCCGGAGATCGCGGTCTCCTCCAGGGGCTCCTCCTCGCCCTTTCTGCGTCGCACTTCGGCCATTGCTCTGTGTTGACCAGCACTTGTACCGATGTATTGATTCCTATTGATTCCGCTTGAGCAGTTCGTCCGTGTTCCGCTTTCCGCGCTCGCCGTGATCCGTGCTCAGAGATCCGTATGTCCACTTCGTCCGAAATAAAATGCTTTTCTCTATTTTTTTGGAGCGCAAGTGTGGTGTGACCAGGTGGCTCTGGATTTGGTCGTGTTGGGGCGGCAGTACTGGCAATGATGTCTGTGTAGCTTGAATTCTGGCTAAAATGGAAAGGGTAAACAGTTTCATGTTTGGAAAGATTTACTTAAGTATACATAAATTTATATTAAGCTTTAAACCGCCTTACTTTGCCGGTCAAACGTTAATTTTCTTGACTTAAATAAAAAAACTAATTAATTGTTCAGTAACAGTTTCACACCTTTAGTCACGCTTGGAATCACTCTATTTGCCATCCCTGGAAATGGCAAAGTCTAACCTTCAATGTTTTCCAACACTTCTACCGGCGGCGTCACTTTTTTCAGTTTATCTATCTCGCCGACTTGCAATTTTCCCTGCAAAAATACGAAAAAGAAAAGCGTAAATAGAGAAAATGGCTGCAGCTATCGATGGTGTGTTCCCGGCCACATTGCAGGAGCTGGTGAAAAAGTCCAAGGTGCTGGTGGTGGGAGCCGGCGGAATTGGCTGCGAGGTGCTCAAGAACCTTGTGCTCAGCGGCTTTACAGATATCGAAATTGTAAGTGATTCGGGGATGTGGTTTTTAATGTATAAATGATTAATTAATAATTTAATGTTGACTTTACCCAGATCGATCTGGACACCATTGATCTGAGCAACCTGAACCGACAGTTCCTCTTCCATCGGGAGCACGTTGGGAAATCGAAGGCGCGGGTGGCGAGGGAAAGCGCCTTGAGCTTCAATCCGGATGCCAAGATTACAGCTTATCATGATAGCGTCACATCGTGAGTTGGGAAAGCCCTTGGATGCATCTTGTGTTTATAGTAAACCCACATCCCTCTTTCAGCACTGATTATGGCGTCAGCTTCTTCAAGAAGTTCGACTTGGTGCTCAGTGCCCTGGACAACAGGGCAGCCAGGAACCATGTGAATCGCATGTGCCTGAATGCGGATGTCCCGCTGATTGAGAGTGGCACCGCCGGCTACAATGGGCAGGTCGAGCTGATCAAGAGGGGCCTCACCCAGTGCTACGAGTGCACGCCGAAGGATAAACAGCGAAGCTTTCCCGGCTGCACCATTCGCAATACGCCCTCCGAACCTATTCACTGCATCGTTTGGGCCAAGCATCTGTTCAAGTGAGTTTTCCACCTAAAATAGACTTCATTTTTTTTATACTTTTAAGCAATCAATTCATATATCTACCTTAAATGTTTCAGTCAACTCTTTGGCGAGTCTCTGGAAGATGAGGATATTTCCCCCGATGCCGCTGATCCCGACGCCAAGGAGAAAGATGGCGCCGACGGAGACGCTGAGCCTAAGGCAGATGAGAAGGAAAAAGAAAAGGTGGAGGAGTCCAAGGAGGAGAAGGAGGCCAAAGAGGATACGGCCAATGGAAACATAGTGCGCATCAACACCCGACAGTGGGCCAAGGACTGCAAGTACGACCCCGGCAAGCTGTTCAACAAGTTTTTCAACGAGGACATTACCTACTTGTTGCGCATGTCGAATCTCTGGAAGACGCGCAAGGCGCCCGTGCCCGTGCAGTGGGACACCCTGGTGCCCAAGGACTCCTCTGGCGACGGGAAGGATGTGGCTAAGCAGCACCATAAGATCTGGTCCATCGAGGAGTGCGCTCAAGTCTTTGCCAATGCTTTGAAAGAGTTGAGCTTGACTTTCCTGAAACTGGAAGGTGACGATACGCTGTCTTGGGACAAGGATGACCAACCAGCTATGGATTTCGTGGCCGCCTGCGCCAATGTGCGATCCCACATTTTCAACATCGAGCGCAAGTCGAGATTCGAGATCAAGTCGATGGCGGGCAACATTATTCCGGCCATTGCCACCACCAATGCGATTACGGCGGGTATTTCGGTTATGCGAGCGTTCAAAGCTCTGGAGGCCAAGTGGGAGGAGTGCAAGGCTGTCTATGCTCGACTTAGGCCAAATGCACGCAATCACTTCCTCGTGCCGGACGCCATTCTCCCGGGTCCCAATCCCAACTGCTATGTATGCGCCAGCGATCCGGCAATCACTCTCAAGGTGGACACCAAACGCATCCGTATAAAGGAGCTACGCGACGACGTCCTGGTAAAGACACTCAACATGCTGAATCCGGATGTGACTGTGGAGAGCAATGGCTCCATTCTGATCTCCTCGGAGGAGGGCGAAACGGAGTCCAACGAGGGCAAGCTCCTAAGCGAATTGAACATTGTTGATGGTGTGATCCTCAAATGCGACGACTTCTTCCAGAACTATGAGCTAAGTATCATTATTTCCCACTTCGATGCGGAGCGGGATGAGGCCTTGTTTGAAGTCGTGGCCGATGCCGAGCAGTTGAAGCCCAAAGAGGAGGAGCAAAAGAAGGATGATGAGGCAGAAAAGGCGGATGAACCGAAAACGGCTAAGAAGCGCTCTGCCAACGGGGAAGGTGACTCAAAGGACGATGGTCCATCTACCTCAAAGCGCAGCCGGCCCACCGAAGTGGTTGAGGAGGATGACGATGATTGTCTGATGATCGAGGAGGACGAGGATGAAGCGGATGTCGTTGCCGTGGCCACAGACAAACTCACCGTGCAGAGTCCACCAAAGTCGGGCGCTAAGCGCAAGCCGAGTGAAGTGATCGAGGATGAGGACATCACGGAAATCTTGGATTCCTCCGACGATGAGCCTGCTGCACCCACCAAAAGTAAGCGCTCCAGACTGGATGAGTCGCTGACCAATCCAGTTGAAGTCATCAGTATCGATTAATCAAAAATGCATAAACTATTCGAATAAGTGCACACTAAAATATCTCCTGGATTCCTTTTAATAAAAAGCATTTTGTTTAAATAACACATCATTAAGCTTGGACTTATAATTTATTTGTGATTGGTTTGTTTTAAATACGCGTTGGTTTTTTATTCATTAAACTGGATAACAAATAAAGTGCAAAACTTTTTAAACTTCGATAACTTTTTGGGACCACCTAGTGTTGGATAGCACTAGAAGTCATTGTATTTGTTATCGGTTGCTGGGTAGTGGATCCAAAACACAGAACGTGAGTTTCCCCTTTATATTTTCCTGAAAATCTTAATGAAAATGGCTTTTCCAGATGTCCCTGGCCAGTAGAATCCTGCAACAAGGCTCCCGCCTGTGGAGTGGACTCAGTGCCGCACGGGGCTTCCACATTCTTATGCGACCTGCGGCTCCTACGACAGGAACCATGCAAAACGCGCAACTGATGGCCGTCACAAGTGGGATTCCACAAGGATCGGGACTCCTGCGTCCCGGCTCCACACTGGTCCAACAGGTGGCCGGGTTTAAGGTCAAGGGTAACCTGAAGCGACGCTGCAAGGACTGCTACATCGTGGTGCGCCAGGAGCGCGGTTATGTCATCTGCCCCACGCATCCGCGGCACAAACAGATGTCGATGAAGAAGCGCGACTACAAGTCCTGGATCCTGACGCACGCCACCCAGTCCAAGGAGCGCGGCTTTTAGTCCTAATTAGGCATTAATTAAAGCATTTGTTTAAATCTTGTTCTTAAATAAACAACATAAAAAAGAAGAAATCCAAGTGGCCCCTGCCTCGATGCGTTTACCAACACTGGATCAGCTGATGGTTTGTTTATCTTGATTTCTGGAAGAGATTTGCACTTGTTTTCTTGCCGTTCCTTGCTATAACCGGCGGAGTTCAGTACACCTGCCCGGAAAAGATGACGACTCACTTCACCAATGTGCTGCGGCAGGCCTTCAAGACGTTCGACCGTGCGAATCACGCCAGCTTTAATGCGAACCTGCAGCATTTGCGCCAGTTGACCGATGAGCTGACCTACCGGGACTTGCACCTGCGCGAGGAACTCTTCCGGAGCGTGGCCAGCAACCGGGCGCCCTGCAGCTACATGCACATCTTCGAGGACGACCGCTTCTCCATGAGCCTGTTCATTGTGCGCGGAGCGAGTGTGATTCCCCTGCATGACCACCCCATGATGTTTGGCCTGCTGCGCTGCATTTGGGGCCAGTTAAGAGTGGACAGCTTCTCACAACAACTGGGCCCTGATGAGCCGCTGACCTACGACCCGCATCCCTCGGTGGTGAAGGTGAAAACCGAGGAACCCAGCTTGGTATCGCCCGCAAGTCCGTGTGCAACCTTGACGCCGCGAAAGAGGAACTACCATCAGATTGCCCAGCTTGGCAATGGCGTGGCGGCATTCTTTGACATCCTCAGTCCGCCATACGATGCGGATATGCCCACATATGGTCCGCGACAGTGCCGCTTCTATCGCGCCAAGGTCGACGCCGGCCAGGTGCAGCTGCACTGCATCCCCTCGCCGGATACGTACTACTGCGACGTGGTCGACACGCCCGAGTCCGTGGTGCAGGCCGCTTTTCAGTGCGCCGACGAGGTCTATGCCGAAAATGCCACCGGGACACAGTGAATCCCTGCAGCTAATACCCTCCTATTTATTCGCCCATCATCACCCGTTGGCTGCCCGTATCAGCCAAGTATCTTCTGTGTTATTTAAATAAAATTGCCTCTTTTTTTGTAGAATTCACTCCGCTTTCACGGAATTTGTTAGGTTTTAATCATCTTGTGCTTGGTATATATTCTGATTTCGTCGCTTCAGCTTCTTGATATTGGGACTAGCGGGCACTGAAGCTTGTTCCTCTACCGTAGGGGCTTCTGTTTCTGCAATTATTTCCTCCGGTTCCACCTCCTCTGGAAGATCTATTACGTTTTTATCAGTAATATCTGCAGGTGCTGCTATAGGAGCTGGCAGGGATAAGTTTAGTTTCCGTTTGGTGGGCGTGACCAAAGGTTCACCGATGTCTTCTTCCAGCGGCTCCACTTTAGAGCTATCGTTCGCCTCATCAGCGACAGTTTCAGCACATCCCACCGCAGGCAGATCTTTGCCATTCGCCAACAAAACTAGGCACAGTGGATCATCAATGCCCAAAGCAGCACAAAAGCTATTACTTTGGGGATTCAGGTGCACCTTCGGTTGACCCACGACCATGTGCTTGTAGTTGGACTGCTCTGCGGGATCAAAAGCTGGTACTGTGCGCTCAAAGTTCTCCGGCACCTGGAGTTTCTGGAACTTTGTGGTCACAGCTTCCAGTTCCTCTTCGGTGGGCGTGAAGTTGAATCGCTCTGTAAGCTCTCCCGCCTTTTTTCCGGGCAGATAGTAGTAGTTCTCCTTTACAGAAATCAAATGATTTGTACTATGCAGGATGGCCAGCCACTCGGCGTCGTAGTCCAGACGTGGCTTACCCTCAATGGGGTCACTCGGTATCTCTACCACTTGCAGGAATGCACGCCGCGGCAAGCATTTGTCCAGAGCCAGGAATTTTGTCACGGGTACGTGTTTAGTTGGGGGAGGCGTAGGTGTTGTCTTCTCCTCCTTTTCCTCGTCTTCATCCTCGCTGCTGCTGCTGGAGGAGGAGGATCCATCATCAGCTCGCTTCTGGCTGTGATTATGTGGCACCAGGGCGGCAAATTTGCAGTGCAGATGAGCAGCAAACCAGTAGGCCGGCTGGATGGCTTTCAGCAGCTCCTCCAGTGGCTGACTGCCTAGCTTACCGCTTTCCATGTCCGCCGCAAAGAAGGGTTTCTTGCGCAGCAGCTGTGCCTTGTTCCCGTATTCATAAATTCCCGAGGGCCAGTCGTGGGACAGGAAGATGTCCACCTTCCCGGACAATTGCTTCAGCCGGAAGACTTCCAACTGCCGTACGTGGTAGACACTGCGACACGTGGAGTCGGTATAAGGGGGATATTCATGGTGGCCTCGCAAAAAGTCGTGGCCCTTGTAGATTCCACTTATTCCAGCGATGCGAACTCCATTCACATTGACCACGCCGGCGTAGCCGAGGTAGTAGATATTAGGAGCAACCCAGCCGCCGTAGGGGAGTTCCTGTAGGTAATTGGAGGCCTCGTGGTTCCCGCCAATAAAAATGGTCAGGACGGGAGCCACCATCTCACCGCTGTAGTATCTGTTGGAGGGAAAATATGAACTCATTTGCTAATGACTGTCAATAGCTTTACTAACTTGTAGAAGGAGCACATGTCCAGGTACTTCTTTGGCACCGCCATCGTCTGCAAATCCTCCAGATTCCGGGTGGACTGGAAATCGCCGCAGCACAGAAGCAAGTCGATCTTGGTGCTGCTGTCCTTTTCGATGCCCGCTATGGTGTCGTATATACGTTCCAGCTCGCCATGGGCGCATCCCTCTACAGCTACTTTCATGGTTATCACGAAAATTCACGGTTTTTCAATTAAATTTCAGTTGTAAACAAATGCGGTCTGCTATCGAGAACGATAGACCAAAACAAATTAACGATAGGCTATCCAGTGCTGAAAACGTTTTTAAAGAATGTAGCTTTAAACACTATTTATCGATAATCTATTTAATGCGCGCCAAAATTTAAATAAATTCTTGATGAAAACTAAATATTTCTGTTTAAGAAAAAACAATTGCTTATAACTACATACTTTTAAATTCATTTAAAATAAGTACCTCCGTATGCTGCTTAAAATAAAATATATTTATTTTAATTCCCAGATAACACCACCCGATTCCCGTGAAAATATACCTTTGTCCAGTTCAAACGTTAAAAATGTTTTTTTGTTTATTTTTCAAAAATATCGCTTCATTTAGTACAGAATATACGTGTATGTGTGTGTAAAGAAAATGTATGTGAAATGCTCTGCGTTGAATTCTCATTTTCCTGACCTAGATGCCATCTTTTTTGGAGTTCTGCGGGGCGTGCTGGTGGGCACAATCTCATTTGATGAGACCTTCTCGTCCTCGACGTGTTTGTTTTTCGTTTCGTTTTGTTTACATACAAAGATTTACAATGGACTTTCGACTTAAGATACATAATTTAGTTGGCCGCCATGGCCAAGAAATAGGAAATAAAATATAAATCTACAATAAATATAGCGCGGTCTTCACGCCGCCCGATTGATGGATCCGAATAATCTACCGATCGACGCAGCGTGCATGGGTACACGGAGTGTACGAAAACCAAGAGAATGCCTTTAAAGCCATCATCAGCATGCCAGATGTGTTTTGTTTGATGTTTTTGTTATTTTTTGGAAAGAATATGAGAAACAATCAAGTCAGATATCGAACCAAGTCTCTGGTGATCTGGTCAATTCAGTTAATTAGGAGCCGAACTTGAAGGACGTGGGCACGGCGGTCTGTGGGAAGGCGAAGCCGCCCTGTTTCTCGATCAGCTTCGATTCCTTGGCGGCCTTGCGCTGATCGGCGGTCACCACCACCTCTTGCAGCGCCTTGGCCTGTTCAGGTGTGAGGTTGGAGGTAAGCAGCGCATACCAGGCTTGGTCTTGTGCAGAAAGTGCTGAGGGGTAAAGGGGATACATTAGTTATATACTTTCTAAAATTCGGCAGAGGGCCCAATTCCTAATACCTGTGATAACTTCCTTAAACGTCCAGTACTCATCGATGGCGCTCTCGTTCTCCTCATCGTCGATGGGCGTGGTGAAGGACTCCAGCCCAGTCTCGTTCAGATCACCCACAGACTCCTCAGCCTCGCCGTCCGAATCCGCATCCTCGTCCTTGATCTCGGCTTTTACCTCAAAGCCCGCCTCACCGCCCTTCGTCTTGGCAAATTCGGCCAACTTGTCCAAATAGTCGGGCGCCATTTCGTCCATATCATCCTCGTCACTGGACAGAGCCTCCTCACAATCGTCACAGTCCTCCTCCTCTTCTTCTTCCTCCTCCTCCTGAGCGCGCGACTCATAGGCGCGCTTTAAGCCATCGAAAAGCAGAATAAGGGCGGGCACAATCTTGCCGGCCACCTCGCTCAGCACCTGTGGCTTGGCTTCACCCAACGAGATG